AAACTGCTTGTGCTCTGCAGTTATATTATTAAATTCTGTTCAATAACTTTCTTAGATTTTCAGTAAAATTGTGGAGCTTTAAACGTCACCTGCAGGCCTGTTCTGCGAGTAGTATGGCTCTCTGTCGCTAGTAGGGTGGCGGGGGTCGCCTCGTGTGAGGTGACTCTTCATTTGATTGCACGGAGAGTCACCCCACTAGAGCGTGACTTTTGTTGACTCATTGGTGGTGGAGATTCACACGACTCGCGGAATAGGTCAGATGATAAGATTTGCATTTATTAAAGATTTTGAAAAGCTAAGAAGGCAAAATTGTGTTGACAAAATCTAACGGGTAATGCCGATATAAATATATATATATATATACACATTATATGCAAAGGGGAGGGATGGGACCACCAGGGCACCGGATTGAAGCGATTTGGATGGGGAGAGTGGAATTGCCAACTCCCTGTCATTAACATTTCGTGAATTGACGGCGGGCTCTTCTCCCCACTCATTGGGACGTTCCCTCGTATGATGGCTTGTTCTACATCGGGTTGTAGGATTTTATCATTGGAAGGCGATTCTCCTGATCCCGCGGATTGCGCGTAAGTGTATCTGCTTACGGGTCCGCCCCTCCGTTTTTGGCCCTTCTTACAATGGTAAATTGAATACAACCAGGTATCGTACTTGATCAAGTCATACTTGGAGGATGATCCACTGTCTAATGGCTGTGCCTTGCAACAATGAGTGGTATCCTTTACATACATACATACATACATTAGTTGATAGGTCATTTTTAAATGTTACGCGAGTATTATTCATGTGTTCATTTTTAGTAAACACGGCACCGCTCAAACGTCACATTTGTTCATGCAGTTCATTCCGTGCATTGGTCAATTAGGTTCTGCAGCGTGACGTCACGAATGAACTCAGTGTTAGCCGGCTGAACCTTTTTGACAGTTCAGTGGTACTGTTTACAAGCACTTAGTCGTTTTTTCGAAAAAAAATATTCTTAAATTTCCGAATTTCAACTTGAACATTGTCGAGGAACAGCGCGTAGAAAGGATGTTGCTCATGGACATTGCAGAAGTGTGGTTTACATCTCACTGCAGTCCGAAAAATTATCGAGAAAATCCAGCCAAGAAAAAATCGACTAAGTCCACGTAAACAGTACCACTGAACTGTCATCAGATTTAGGTTAACTCCGACGGTGCAAAACCTAATTAGGTTCTGCAGCGTGACGTCACGAATGAACTCAGTGTTAATCGGCTGAACCTTTTTGACAGTTCAGTGGTACTGTTTACAAGCACTTAGTCGTTTTTTCGAAAAAAAAAATTCTAAAAATTCCTAATTTTAACTTGAAAATTGTCGAGGAACAGCGCATTGCAAGGATGTTGCTCGTGAACATTGCAGAAATGTGGTTTACATCTCACTGCAGTCTGAAAAATTATCGAGAAAATCCACCCAAGAAAAAATCGGCTAAGTCCACGTAAACAGTACCACTAAACTGTCATCAGATTGAGGTTAACCCCGACGGTGCAAAACCTAATACCATAGAGGTAACTCTAAGACCACTGGGTCCCGAAGAAAATCATTATTATTTTTGGCTCACTCAGTACCAGAACAACGGTCCCAAGCAGTCCCAAGCTCACCCCTGCATGTTCTGCATGAATCCACACGCCCCTGATGTTATCTGTCAAACTTTCATAGCGAATCAAAACAAACATAGTGTAGTAATAGAATTTCAACTAGAATGGGGTACGCCATAGAAGTACTTGGGACCAATAGGCTACTCAAGCAGTGAATCAATTTAAAATCGTTAGTTACCACCCCCTGCTAATACTGTCATGTGCACGGCAAGAATCAAACATCCCTTTATGAGTTAAAGTGAACCCATTGTAAATAAAAGTCACACTACTAATTAATGAGTAATTTATTATGCCAATTAAAAAGTAACTTTAATCTACTGTTAGCAGAAACTCATTGTTGTTAAAATAACTTACTCATTAATGAGTAAAATCACTTTTATTTAAAATGGGATAACTTTTACTCATAAAAGGGGATTTGACTGTTACCGTGCAAGCGTAGGGTTTGTTTTCGTTTTGTTGTTTATTTTTACTTTAGAATGACAGTTCTTACAGCAAACAAAAAATTCCTCACAGCTAACAAAAAAAATTATCTCCCTAACACACGCAAATCGCACCAATCCGAACCGCCTGGAGAGGACTATATTTCACTAGAGTCGGTGTATAATGAGTCACGCCAAGAGTGAAGCCAAGTCTACCTATTGAACTGTCAAACCGGCTACCTATCGTGCAAAGTAAACAAACATTACGATGCTATGAAAGGTCCACGAAAGGTATTGCAATAAAATATAAAATAAAATTGAAGAAATGATCATAAACACGCAGTGAGCATTAAATTGTCATGGGATACGTTTGCTAATGATCAGTAATGAGAATTTCTACTATTGTTTGATAACCCGCATAAGCGCGAACCATAAATTGACCTTACCTAAAATGGTTATAAATTGTTTATAATCCCTGCTAAACTTCAACTGAAATGGTTATGGAACTTTACATGAACGTTTAATGATAAAGTTTTAACCTTAAGTATTATAGTTTTTTGGAAGTGGACCTTACAAATAATGGGTTGTTAAGAACCATTACCATTCAAAATTCTTGTTTTCTCCATACATTTTCGGAAAGAAAACTATACTAAGACCTTTTAACTTATGGTTTGAGGACATTAATGGTAATGGTTATGGTAACCAGTAAGGTCCATGAATGGTTTTGTAACATCGATCAACTTTATGTGGAATATATCGCGAATTAGTTGCCTGTAAATTACTGATTACCAATTCACGATATATTTCACGTAAAGTTGAGCGATAATACAAAACCATTAATGGACCTTACTGACTACCATAACCATAACGATTAATGTTCTCAAACCATAAGTAAAAACGTTCTTATATAGTTCTTTTTCAGTTAATGTATGGAGAAAACAAGAATTTGGAATGGTAATGGTTCTTAACAACCCATTATTTGTAAGGTCCGCTTCCAAAAAACCATAATACATAAGGTTAAAACTTTATCACACAAACGTTCATGTAAAGTTCCATAACCATTTCAGTTGAAGTTTAGCAGGGATTATAAACAATTTATAACCATTATCGGTAAGGTCATGTGATGGTTCGCGTTTATGCGGGAAGATAATTTGACAAAATCACTGATATAATGATTCACGACAGCCGCAATTTTTTGTTCTAGCTAGAAGTCATTTGAAGTTGATGTAGAAGTCCTCTGTTGCCAAGTGAAAAGAAAGGAAATCCTTCGAAAACCGTGATGCGAGTTCAACTGTTTTTCTCTTGGCGTGACTCATTATACACCGACTCTATATTTCACGATCTGCCTCACCTCTCTCTGTACACATTGGTTGCAGCCCTTGTATACAAAATATGATTGACATCGTTTCTGTCCAGCTTTCAACACGGACAACGAGTTTTTGATCGTAAAGTTCTCTTATCATCATTATCATCAAATATAATCCAACGGTTGAGTAAAGTTACTTATCACTGTGATTAACGTTAGTTTGGTATTCAGTAAAGTTTTAAAAAAATGCCCGTGCCCCTCCCGGAATCCGATTCGGAAGATGAACTGCCACCAGCCTGGGAGGAGCGAGCGACAAACGATGGATTCGTGTACTACGTAAATCACCAAACCAAAACAACCCAGTGGACACATCCAAGAACCGGAAAAATGAAACGTGTCTCTGGCGATCTCCCACTCGGCTGGAGCAAACACGTAGAGCAAGGAACGGGAAAGGTGATTTTCGTCGACGACGCGACCCAGAGGAAATCTTACACCGATCCGCGCCTAGCATTTGCCGTCGAGGAAACTCCCCAAGCAGTGGGAGAATTGCGACAACGGTTCGATTGTGGAACGAACGCCCTCCAAGTTCTGCATGGTCGGGACCTGAGCGGTAAAGTTGCAATGATAACTGGAGCCAATACCGGGATAGGGTTTGAGACGGCGCGATCACTGGCGCTGCACGGATGTGATGTCATTTTTGCGTGTCGTAATGAATCGGCAACGAAGGAAGCAATCGATAAAATAGTGATTGAAAAGGAAGCTGCCGGTAAAAGATGTAAATTTGTGAAGCTAGATCTAGCGAGTCTTCGATCCGGTAGGGAATGTGCTCAACAAGTGAAGACTCAGTATAAGCATTTGGATTTGCTTATCTTGAATGCTGGAGTGTTTGCGTTACCCTACAGTACAACCGAGGACGGCTACGAGACTACATTCCAAGTGTCGCATTTGTCACATTTTTATCTGACCAATCTTCTCGCAGATCTGCTGGACCATACAACGAGGGTTGTTGTGGTTTCATCCGAATCACATCGGTTCAGTATGCTACCAATTGATTTGTCCGAAAGTGATCTTTCTCCGCCAGCAAACAAGTATTGGAGCATGATGGCTTACAACAATGCCAAATTGTTTAATGTTCTCTTCGCGTGTGAGTTGGCTAAGCGGTGGAAAAGTCGTGGAATATCGGTGTTTGTGTTACATCCAGGCAATATGGTTTCATCGCAGATTGCACGCAACTGGTGGTTCTATAAACTACTGTTTGCAATTGTGCGGCCGTTTACCAAATCGTTACAACAAGCCGCCAGTACCACCATCTATTGCGCAACAGCTCAAGAACTGAATGGGTTCACCGGATTATACTTCAACAATTGCTACGTCTGTGATCCCAGTGGATCATCGAAGAGCGAACGTATGCAGCAAAGCCTATGGACACTGAGCGAGCAAATGGTCGGTCGAGCAACGAAATAAGGTATGCACGCGTCAAGTTATGGATAATTTTCAATTTTCTGTTGCTTTGCCTATTCTAATATTCATAAAAGGTTCAAAGGTGTCCGGTAATTATTCAAGAGTTGCTTTTTATTTTTTCCTATGATTATACGAGGTACATGATAAAGGTTCAAGAGTTCATTAATAGCCAGTTTTGAAGAATCCTAGCGTAGAGAAGAAAAGAAAATTGTATTATTTAAAGTGATCAGTTGTATGGACTAATCTGATGCAACTTTCACATCACTTAGCCAAACTTCTCTTGTAAACGTAGTCTCAACCACTTGGTTATTTGAGCCAACTGCGGTCGATCAACCAGATTCATATTCTCCTGGAGATCGATAGTATGATCATACAATTCTTCGCCGTAGATTTTCGTCCAATCTGAAAAATACAGGTATCACTTACAGCACAAAACTAACGGAACAATTCACATTCAACTCACCTCTTGTAAATGTATTCGGGTCAAATCCTATCCAAGCCGTATATCTAAACTGCTTAGTCCGTAAGCTGTATCCCATGATTTTTATTTGGTAGAGTTTTGGCTTATCGCTGTCAGGATGGACGGATGGGAACGTTCCTGGTCTTGGATACTGACTGAAGGCTTCGTCAGGTTGACTGTCACACGTTTCACCCAAAATGAACGGTTGCAAAGATTTACCTTCAACGCAAGTTTCCGCATTTACCTTGCTGCCACAAGTTTCTATCGGTGGTAACCCAGCGAGGTCTACCAGAGTTGGAAATAGATCCAGTAATTCAACTACCTTATCAATTTTGTTCTCTGACCTAGGTTTCACTTGTGGGCTGTAAACGATTAAAGGTACTTTCAAAGCGACATCGTAATTACTAAATTTCGACCACTCGGCATGTTCACCCAGCGACCATCCATGGTCTGAAGTTAAGACGATAATGGTGTCTTCGTAGTTAACATCTTTTAACAACTGTCCTATCAAATCATCAATGTAGCTCACGGCAGCGTAATAGTGCTGACGTATTTTAAGTTTTACTGCATCTGGGATTGGACCAAATGGGTAGCTTATATTCAGTGCCATCATATCGTCTCTGATCCTTATATCTAGGTAGGAGCTCCATGCTACTGCCGGCAAACCGTGCGGTGGGTAGTTGAGATCTAACGTTTTGAAATCTGTAGTTTTATGGAATTCCAGATACTCTGCTGGTATTTTGAAAGGAATATGTGGTTTGTAATAACCAACAGCCAGGAAAAATGGTTCACTGGAATTACGGTGAGATTTCAAAAAATCCTTCGCTGCAGCAGTACTTTGAATATCTGGAAGTGTTCCTTCGGGTTGCAATTGTACTACGACCGGACAGAGCAAATTGTTTGTCATCTTGCCGGTGATCTTGTCGATACACGTTGCCTTGTTCATATAGTCTGCTGTAGAGGGATGATAGGGCGGATTACTCCAACTCAAAGGATAATCATCTGTGAAATTTGACGATATTCCTGGATGGAATATCTTTCCAATCGATTGCGTACGGTATCCGTTGTGTTTGAAGTATTGAGGAAGAGTCGTAAAATTTCCAGCTGCCTCTCTCCAGTAGCTGTAGAAGTCATACAGCTTCGTGGTATCAGGTCTACGCCCTGTGAGAAATGAATTCCTGCTTGGAGCACAGATCGATTGCTACAAAATTAACAAGACACGTTGACATTAAAACTACTGTATCCACTAATCAAATTATAACTCACCTGTGCAAACGCGTTTGTAAAATAGTACCCATTTTTTACAAGCCGATCAATGTTAGGTGTTATCGCTTTAGTATCGCCGAATGCCTTTATTGCCGGTCGAAAGTCATCTAATACCAGTAGTAATACATTTGGCCTTTTAACGATCTGCACGGTTGTACCACGGGCAATACTTGTCAGTGTTAAGAATAACACTATGCATATTTTGACACTATCCATCTTGAACCAAACTGCTATGGAAGAAGAATAGAACTACTGAAGAGTCTTTCGTTCGTTCTCTCTGACGAACGCGAAGAATGATAATGCATGTACCGTGCTGTGTGCACATACGCCCGACGTAAACAAAACAAGTATATCATTGACCCTGACTTTTGTTTAAAGTTCGCTCACATAACGACGAACTTGGATCCAGCAGTTCTGTGTGAACTAAATACCTATCCAAAGGGCAAGTTAACTATTATATATTCACTTGGTAAATTACTCGAAACTACAAAATGTTCAAACCGATCCATTTAGGTATCTGGTGAGAGTGAGTCATTCCTAGAGCAGCATTATCATTTACAGCCTGTCTCGCCGGTGTTTGATATTATAATTGTCAATGGAAACGTAATTAATGGTCGTATACTACTTAGCGAAAATCAGTTCCCCAAAAACACTTCTTCTGCCGAATGTAACTTTTCCCGGAATAACATTTCCCCGAAATAATTTAAAATTTCAATTGATATCAAACATATATTATTATTAAGATAATACTGCACTTTTTATTTAATTCTTGAATATTAATTTACGTAATTTCACTTCTTTCGAAGAATTCAACATATAGACTGAATGTGATCTAAATGAAGAAAATCTGGTGGCACATAGCGCGAACTACTCGGCTGTTGGAATCTCGGGTAAAAAATTGAAGTGTATATGGTAATCCTATGAGCTTGATCATGTTTCTGGTAGCCTCGTTTGCTTTTTTGTTTTAATTATGCGTATCGTTTCACCCTGCGCTTTGGTCAGATAGCATATAGGGCGTAGTTGTGCCAATTTGGTCGTGGCACATTTCCAGTATGAGAGAGTTATTGCAGTTTGCTCAAAAGTGCCTTAGTTGAATGCAAGTGCTTTCGATGATTACCAGTAGTTGTTAAAGTGAAGATATACACCCATATTCTCGTTTATGTCTGGGCGTGTTTGCCATACAGAAACATTTTTATTTGATTTTGTATGGTGGATGTGTTTCGGGCGTGGACGGGCATATGGGTGATAATTTTACGTTAGAATTACATTGAAAAATTGAGAAATCTATCGCTTCAGTTTGAGAAGAACTTCACTTCGCAATCGATGAACCATTCTGACGGTCCACATAACCGTGCAGGCGCCGTGTGTTGGCAGGGTCCAATATTGGACCCTGTTTGATGTTTATAAAGTACCATCAGTTAAAACTGTATTTTGAGCTTTATCTCTATACATTCTTAGGTGTTTCTTAGTAGATTATCATGTTGGTGTACACTGATTCAAAGAGTAAATGGTATTAACATTGGGCTGTCCATAGTTGGGCGTTGTTGAACTTGTGGTACTTGCACAACATTTCATGTGAGTACCAAAGTATCCATATATTCACAAAATAGCTTTAGGTGTGGGTTCAGAGTGGGACAATGTCACTGAGATATGGTTAGTTGGGTATTCAGATGAAACTATTACTTTAAAAAACTAATCCTGGTCTCTTTTTCGTTTGCATGTAACACTGTTTGATATTACTAACCGCACCGAGTCTTCATTCCGGGTGGTGAGCGAACCTGAAGAAGAAGATGACCATGAGCCCCTTCTCGGAACGAGTGTTTTGTTAGTGGACCTGGTCTGCGATTCAAGGTTGGATTCTATGATGATGGGTATCACATGAAAGATAAAATAGGTAGCATCATCTTTATCGAAATGTAAGTATTATTGACAATAATCATAACTAGATGATATGCAAATTTATATGATAGTATCTGGATCAACGTTATTTCAACATGCGCATTCAATCGCGACGGCATCTAATTCTGCATTTTAAACATACCCAACCCTTTTCCTTTCTACAATCCCTGAGCAGCTGGTTCACCATAAGTGAACCTCGTAGAACCTTTTTAACCCCCATGGGTAAAGATGATGTGTTGCTCACTCCTGGTGTGAATATTCACATCGGTAACATGGCCCCTGACCTTGTACATCATAAAATGAAAATGAAAATGAAATGATTTTGCGTTTCGTTTCACAATGTTCCATTTCACTTTACTCCGTTCCATTAGCTAATTGACAATAGATCAGTGCACGAAGATTTGATGCACTCTTCTCTCATCCGTAAATTTTGACTGTTTTGGGTGGTTTGTTTTGGCTCCCATTCGTTGCCATCTCTTTTAGCGAAGACATCAGATCAAGAAGACTGGCAACTTTTCCATAATCCAAGCGACAGATACAGTAGCGCTGCACTTGAGTGAAGGTGGAAGCAACGCATAGAAAAATGAGCAAATACACAAACCTTTCTTCTGAGGATGTAATCTTTGCTATCAAATTCGTTCGAAGCATTTACCTTTGAGCGGCAGATGACGTGATTGTACCTGTCTCATAGCGTTTGTATGAGAAAATGGAAGAGTTGCCAGTCTTCTTGATTTGTTGTCTTCGCTTTTAGTCAGAGACAAAATGATTGGAACCAAAAAATGAGATTAGGGAACGTGCACTGCTCTATTAAATCATTTTTAGTTTGCACGGCGTGCAAACTAGCGGGCACAGACAAACAGACGTAACTCTTTGAAAAACTTGTTCTTGAAAACATAGTATCTCAAAACATATAACCTCCGTAACGACATCTCTCTGGCTTCTCGCGGAAAACAAGCTTGCTCGCTAACTCGTAAACAATATTGCATAAAAGTTCTATAGACTATATAGAAACGTCAAAGTGATCCGATGCCAGCAATGCGGCGAGTAGTTCGCGGAACTGATAATATTCAAATCAACCGTTAAATGCATGAACGAAGATACACAATGAAGAGTTACGTCTGTTTGTCTGTGTAGCGGGGTTCAAGTTAAAAGTGTTCAGATTGAAAATTGTCAGATTACCGGGGGTCCACAGTAATACCACAAACGAAGTGACAGACGACTTACTGGCGAAGAAATCAATTAAAATAATGTGGTTCACTGTAGTAGAATTTTCTTGGAAGCTTGTGCCATCATCCACCAGATGGGTTAGTTTTTTCGTTTTGATTTGAACAAAGTTGATTTTGTGTACAATGATTCTTTGACAGTGTGCAAAGAGTGCGTATCATTTTGTCATTTTTTTATGCATTTCAGTTTTGAGTAGAGTGAAAGAGATAGAACCAAAACATTCTAATACATTTGGTGAAAATGCTAGTACAATCCAGTAGTAGTGTTGCCATGTGGTACAATCTAGTAGTAGTGGTGTTGCCATGTGGTACACTGAAAAATTGAAATAGCAGGTTAGTCACCAAAGTTTTCGAGCCGCTCCGTCTGTCACTTCGTTTGTGGTAATACCACAAACGAAGTGACAGACGACTAACTGGCGAAGAAATCCATTAAAATAATGTGGTTCACTGTAATAGAATTTTCTTGGAAGTTTGTGCCATCATCCACCAGATGGGTTAGTTTTTTTGTTTTGATTTGAACAAAGTTGATTTTGTGTACAATGATTCTTTGACAGTGTGCAAAGCACAAACGAAGTGACCGACGGAGCGGCTCGAAAGCTTTGGTGACTAACCTGCTATTTAAATTTTTCAGTGTACCACATGGCAACACCACTACTACCTCGACTACTACTAGATTGTACCACATGGCAACACTACTACTAGATTGAACTAGCATTTTCACCAAATGTACTAGAATGGTTTGGTTCTATCTCTTTCACTCTACTCAAAACTGAAATGCATAAAAAAATTACAAAATGATACGCACTCTTTGCACACTGTCAAAGAATCATTGTACACAAAATCAACTTTGTTCAAATCAAAACAAAAAACCTAACCCATCTGGTGGATGATGGCACAAGCTTCCAAGAAAATTCTATTACAGTGAACCACATTATTTAAATGGATTTCTTCGCCAGTTAGTCGTCTGTCACTTCGTTTGTGGTGCAAAGAGTGCGTATCATTTTGTCATTTTTTTATGCATTTCAGTTTTGAGTAGAGTGAAAGAGATAGAACCAAAACATTCTAGTACATTTGGTGAAAATGCTAGTTCAATCTAGTAGTAGCACAAACGAAGTGACAGACGGAGCGGCTCGAAAACTTTGGTGACTAACCTGCTATTGCAATTTTTCAGTGTACCACATGGCAACACCACTACTACTGGATTGAACCATATGGCAACACTACTACTGGATTGAACTAGCATTTTCACCAAATGTACTAGAATGTTTTGGTTCTATCTCTTTCACTCTACTCAAAACTTAAATGCATAAAAAAATGACAAAATGATACGCACTCTTTGCACACTGTCAAAGAATCATTGTACACAAGATCAACTTTGTACAAATCCAAAACAAAAATACTATCCCATCTGGTGGATGATGGCACAAGCTTCCAAGAAAATTCTATTACAGTGAACCACATTATTTTAATGGATTTCTTCGCCAGTTAGTCGTCTGTAACTTCGTTTGTGGTGATGATGGTTTCAAAATTTTCCACGGGGAAGTATACGAATGCAATCTTAAAATGCTTTTATTTTGCAAATGGAACATTTTATTTAAATCTGGTTGCTGCTACAGTGGTAGAAAAGCTCAAATCTATGTGTGCACCTAAAAATCTGAAAAGAAATTATTTTTTCTTTATTATTTGTCTATTGAGTAGTCCTTAAGTTTTCTACTAACATAGCATCAACCAGATTTAAATAAAATGTTCCATTTGCAAAATAAAAGCTTTTTAAGATTGCACTCGTATACCTCACCGTGTAAAATTTTGAAACCATCATCACTCTCATAGTTCTTCTATTCTCCACGAGTGCCAACTTTGATTTGCCAATTGGCAAATCAAAGTTGGCTCTCGTGGAGAATAGAAGAACTATGAAAGTGATGATGGTTTCAAAATTTTCCACGGGGAAGTATACGAGTGCAATCTTAAAATGCTTTTATTTTGAAAATGGAGCATTTTATTTAAATCTGGTTACTGCTACAGTGGTAGAAAAGCGGAAGTCTATGTTTACACCTAAAAATCTGAAAAGAAATTATGTTTTCTGTATTATATGTCTATTGAGTAGTCCTGAAGTTTTCTACTAACGTAGCACTAACCAGATTTAAATAAAATGCTCCATTCACAAAATAAAAGCATTTTAAGATTGCACTCGTATACCTCTCCGTGGAAAATTTTTAAACAATCATCACTCTCATAGTTCTTCTATTCTCCACGAGTGCCAACTTTGATTTGCCAATTGAGGTTAGTGGGTATAAATATTAAATAGTAACTGCATGTCTGCCTGCCTGTCAGATCTGTCATTGTCGTTTTTTATTATTGTTTTACCCAGTTAGATCAACAAAGCGTATTCGCGGAATTGCACTAGTCTTTTTTTAAATAATAATCGTCTTCTAACGTTTCCAATTTTGTTTGAAGACCTAATTTTGCATTCTATACTTAAGTTTTCAAAATATTCAAATATGTCGACATTCATTAAACGAAACGTGAAAAATAAATTTGCACGTAAGCGCAAGCAGTCTTCCGAATCTGGTAAGTCGATAATAAATAATAGATTAAATTGTTCATTTAATTATTTTATTTGGAATTCTAGACGAAGCAGAACAAGAATCGGCAGTCGTCGTCAATCAGGAGAAAAAGAAAAAGGTAAATCCAAATGTGCAAAGCACATCCGCTCTGAAGCACAACCGCAAGGTCACCGATCATGCATCGACTGAAAGGGACTCCAGCGGTAGCGACGAGGATAGTGCTGTTGGAGTCAGTTATAAATCAAAGCGTATTGCTGCACCAGCTGGTCCCCAGGATCAGGGTGCTACAGCAGAACTAGAAATTGAAACCGACAAGACTCACGATGCACAAGCAATTTATGAGAAAAGTATCGAAATTAACAAGGAACTCGAAGGTAAAGAAGATGACAAGGTGTATCGTGGCCTGAATAACTACACACAGTTCTTCAAAAAGAAGGACAGTGCTCTGGGAAACGCTGCATCTGGAATGGTGCGTAAGGGCCCTATTCGAGCTCCTTCGAACATAAGATCTACTGTAAGATGGGATTATCAACCGGATATTTGCAAGGATTACAAAGAAACGGGATACTGTGGTTTCGGAGACAGTTGTAAATTTTTGCACGATCGAAGCGACTACAAGCACGGTTGGCAACTGGAGCAAGAGGCATCCACAACAGGGGGTGCATATGCAGCGGATGATTCCGATGGTGATGACACGAAGTATGAGATCCACTCCGATGATGATGAACTGCCTTTCAAATGCTATATTTGCAGAGAGAGTTTTGTGGATCCAGTTATAACAAAGTGAGAATTGCGATTCGATAATAATTAAAACCTAATGTTATTCTGTATTCATCTATTCTAGGTGCAAGCATTACTTCTGTGAAAAATGTGCTCTGACAAACTATAAAAAATCTGCGCGTTGTGCAATTTGCGGTGTCCAAACGAATGGCATGTTCAATCCGGCAAAGGAGTTAATAGCGCGATTGAAGACCCGAGAAATGAACGAGGGGGATTCCGAAAGTGACTAAAATTGCTAATTACATAATGATTAAAATTAAATAAATAAAATAAAAGTTTATAATAATAACACAAGCTTGAGTTTTTCTTGTTATTCGTGCCCAACAGGTTTGAACCAAGGTTGCAAATACTCATTTCAGATAAAACAATGTTTTTTTAAATTATGAAATAATTAGATGTCATGATCATATTTTGAATTGGTAGGATACAAGAGGAGGTTGCAAATAATGTGTTTGACATATTAAACCTGCTTATTTCACTTCATGAGAGTCACAATCAGCGATTTTTCACAAACTCACTAACTCACTCACTCACTCACTCAGCGATCAGAAAATCGCTGATTGTGACTCATAGAAAGCAAAATTTACAGGTTTTATATTTCAAACGCATACTTTGTAGCCTCTTCTTGTAAGTTACAAGTAAAACATACCATCATACCATCTTTTGGTTTTATTATTCCGAAAAACATTATTTTAGCTGAAATGAGTATTTGCAACCTTGGTTTGAACAAAAAATTGAATGTTTCTATCAAAATTTTGTGATGCTGCGAATTTTATTCGACTGGAGCGTCCCCCGGAGTTCAAAGTAGACACGATGCCCTACCATAATGCATATTTAAATTTCTCTGCTGGTATCATTTTCGGCGGTCGCTCAAATACACGAACTCGCCTCGATTTCGTCACCGTCAATCTGAAACTGAAATTTTGACGAGCCACGATGGTTTCAGAGAATATCAAGAAGAAACGGCATTACATATAATTGGTAACTGCTTTGTTATTTTTCTTGGAAATCAGGGACCGGTAGCCTGTCGCCTTCTGCGCGTGCTCCCAGATCTGTTGCCGTACCACATCCGTTCTCTGCTGCGACACCTGTGACAATATCCTGTTGTCGGATAGACGGAACGAAATCGAATCAACGAAGATTAACGCTATCGAAATTTGCTGGCTAAGAAAATCGGTACCACATAAGGACAAGTGGACCGTCGAATGTTAACACAACTGTAAACTCAAAACTCTTTACTCAGGTCGGTTAGCCACTCTATGGGTCTATGAAGCTGTTTGTTACCAAGGGGTCGAAAATGAAGCAAAACGATTTTCATTCATTACATATCACTCAATGTTGAACAAAGATAAAGGAGTGTGTGCTGCTAAGTAATAGTAAACAGATTGCATATATGCCGCAGTCCCCGGTTCATGAGTTGATGGGTCGATTGGTTAGGGTCCAGGTTTGGGAGCTGCCTCCCTGGCGTCGGTACCATTGGTAATCAGTACGGAAAACAAATCAAGTAAAAAACAGCCCACAAAACAGTGTCATGCTACCAACTAGACCGCCTGGAATTATAAAAAAAAAACACATAAGTCGTCAATCAGATCATCTTCAGCTTGAAACCCTAAACAAAATTGTCCCGCCTCCAGGGTTTTTACTTCGTAAGAATTTTGAATCACTTCAGAAAAGATAGAATTCACTTCGGTAAATTGGGAAGTTCTAGCCAGAGAAAAAAAATAGTCATGGGAGTAGTTCTCTTTCTTATTGAAATAGATCGGTTTTATGTTTTGTTACATAAATATACAACTTTATTATCTCCAAATGTATTATGCTGCTTTTGACTTGGCTGGATTCTTTTGTTTAGTGTACGGCGACTTCCGATTCGCTCAAAGAACCTGATTACAACAGTATTCGACACCCCGAGTGTTGCGATGTCTGCCATATTTGAGTTAGCCAAACTGAAACTGCTATCAATAACTCGTTTCCATTCAATATACAATACAAAAATGGGCTAACGCTGTATAAAATTTATCTAATAGAGTTACTTCTCTATGATGATTTTTTTTTCTAATACTCAGTAAACAGCCTATATAAACTGATCCATATTAAACTCTTAATAAATTATATATTTCGAATGGAGGTTACTTAACTTACTACGAATCTGATAACAGAAGTAAAGTATGATGCTCTTTGTTCACTGCGGTTGGGCGAATTTCTATTGAATCTAAATAAACTATAATATAAAAATATCAGTATCAGTAATAAAACATGGTGGTTATTGCATCTGATGAACATATGTATAATTTCGATCACTGTTCGCCCAAACATCCTGGGAACGGTTCCTGTTTGTGAATAGTGTGCACAATAAATACAATTTAACGATGTGAACCTAAATGAAATATTACGAAACTTTTGCTTTAAGTAGGATTGAAATGGGGGAGTAGGTTAACTGGAAGCCAATTTGCCTAATTGAACAGAACCGTGTTGGGGTCTTCGTTATCCATCTGCTTTACGTGCCGCAGCACGTCTTTTTTGGTGATCACACCCAGTAGACGACTAGAATGTTGAAATGACAGTCAGTTTGAATTGTTGTTAATCAAGTAGACTACAGCATAAGATGGATGGTCATTGATTGACTTACCCATTATGTGTAACGAGCGTTTGCCTTAAACCGAGCTTGCGGAACATGTCGACCACGGTTTCCATGGGCGTTTGATCGGTCACAGTGATTGGTGCCATGTCTAGGATTTTCTTCAGCTTCAACGGTGACGGACCAAGGTTTTGCACCGGTTGTGCCGACGTAAATATCACCGAAGATTGCCCTGTAATACCATCGATCATACGCCGGGCATTTGCTATTTTGCGAAGGAGATCAAGGATTAGAACTACATTTTAATGTTGTTGCACGGATCTATTACTCAAATTACCAATGGCGAGATTGAGATCCCTTCGTAACACAAATCCTACGAGATATTGGTTCTCTTTGGACACAACTACCGGGTAGCCGTTGTGCTCAGTCTCTTTGAGTAGGGTCTCGATGTCGTCCACCGTCATCGAGTCCTGAGTAATTACAGATAGTGTTTCATTTCGCCTGCAAACAAGAGAAGCATGAGAAGATGAGTGTGAAAGGGCAGAGTCATTTTACGTTTGTGTACTTACTTTGGCTGCATCACATCGGCCGCTAAGGTCGTGTGCTGGAACTCATCTTTACTGTCCAAGAATGGATAACCGTTGAGGGCAATGTGTGCATCATAAATACCCTAAAATTGAACGAGAATACTTATAGTGTGTGGGTCGATAATAGTTGAACTGACTATACTTGTCTTCCAAGAGCATCTCCGACCCACTTGGACGCCATCGCCGCTGCCATCAGTGGCACAATATATCGTACTCCTCCAGTCAGCTCGAACATTATAACTACCAGCGACACTGTTCAATTATAAAATACAGTTATTGGTGGTTTTTCTCCAAGGCTTGTATCGATGTTATACCTGTCATTCTTGTCACTCCACCTAAAACTGCAGCTGCACCGACCATAGCATATAGTCCAGGTGTAATGCAATCATCGCCAGTTGAGCATTCTCCAGAGAATATCCAGATCTTTGGATAATGATAAGCCAATTGTTCCATTCCTGAAATTATGACCGCTTGTATTACATACAATGTTCTTTGGGAAAACGTATCCAAAACCTACCGATTCCGACAATACGACCCATGATTGCTCCCAACGCCAACGATGGAATAAAAAGTCCACACGGTACTTTCATGCCAAATGTAAAAATTGTCATAATCAGTTTCATCACGAGTGCCAATGTAAGCAACCAAATCGCTTTGTAAACTCCCGGACCAGCAGCGGCTATTTCGATGGCTGAGTTCACATCGGTGAAATTACGGTTGTAATCGCTATACAAAGAAAAGGTAATGTTAACATTTTCGACTTCAGCTTCGGTTGAGATTTAATTACCATAAGTAATCCCTGTTGGAGATGCCACACTGACTGAATAGTAAGTAGATCAGTTCACTCGTATTCATGCGTGTGTAATGATTGGGATAAGCTATGACAGCGGTGATGAATGTAACAACGAGTACTTCGGTCACGGGATATTGTCCCAACTTGCTGTACTTTCGGAAGCGACACCACCACAGGTTGGCTTTGATGAAGAGTGTTGCGATACAACCCTAGAAGCAACATAGAACATCGATCAATAACATATCCAGTTGATAGCCTTTGTTTCCCAAAGCAGTTACCCCTATGATTCCGAGTCCAATGAAAGGCACCAGCTCGAAAAATATCCATGGTTTGTTGTACTCCACATAGAACAACACTGAATGCTCATTGCCGAATGGATTAATTGATCGTAGGATGAACGCCGCGATCAACGCACAGAAGAACGATCGCCACAGCGTTTTCAGTGGGAAGTAATAGGAAACTTCTTCCAAGCTGAAGAGGACACCTCCGATTGGTGCGCCGAAAGCCACGGAGACACCAGCTGCTGCAGCCGCTGATATGATTTCACGTTTTTTTGCCTCATTTCTACCGTATTTTGGGAACAGATAGGACAATATGTTGCCTATACAGCTGGCTATGTGCACCATTGGGCCTTCCTTACCTAGACTAAGGCCCGTTGATACAGCCAATATAAGGCCAACGGACTTTATTATGAGCGTCCACTTGCCTAGGTAACTACGGATAATAAATCCCGATAGGATTGTTTTGATTTCCGGTATACCGGAACCGCATGCATAGGGCGCAAACATCCGTACCAAGGATGCTGCCAGCAGTGCAAACAATAATGCCCATGCAATGTAGAAAAAGTATGATATGATGTACGCTCCTACACCCTCACGTGACGACGTTAGGATCTCCGACCACGTATACCACTGCGAGCAGTTACCACTGACGAAGCTCGTTTCATTGGATGACCAACAGCACTGCTCTCGGTTCAGCCAGAACGCTTGTGGACAGATGCCGAACTTCAGATCCGTCATCCAACTGGCACCGATATCGATGACACCAGCAACGCAACCGGTGAACAAGCCCACCAACAGGACACAAACCCATCCAGACGAAGCATCGTGAGCTCCCTGCAAAATATACCACTTGGAATAGAACGCTTATTGCATGAATCAGTACAGCAAGTCATACCTTTAACAGATCCCAAAATGAATCCTGTCGCTTCTTAACGATGTATCGATGCCGCATGCGGTCCCGGGCAATATCCCGCTGCCAGTCGATCGTGTGAAAGTCATCGTACTGGCCAATGCCAGGAATATCGTCACTGTTGTCGGTCATTCCGGAGAAGGAAATACCTGCACCAATGGATGCGAAGAAAATGTATGTTATACTAATTATTTCGAAGTCGATCACATTGATTTCATCCCGACATGCTATTAGCTTTGGGCGAAGACAACAAATCAAGAAGACTGGCAACTCTTCCATTTTCTCATACGAACGCTATGAGACAGGTACAATCGCGTCATCTGCCGCTCAAAGGTAAATGCTTCTAACGAATTTGATAGCAAAGATTACATCCTCAGAAGAAGGGTTTGCGTATTTGCTAATTTTTCTATGCGTTGCTTCCACCTTCACTCAAGCGCAGCACCATTGTATCGGTTGCTTGGGCTCTGGCAAAGTTGTCAGTTTTCTTGATTTGTTGTCTTCGCTTTGGGTTAGTAGTATTTTGGTTAAAAAAAATATGGTTTTGCTTTGTTTAATAGGTATTAGGAACACTCAAATTGGATTCCAAAGTGACGTATTTACAAATGAAGCAAAGTTACCTTCTATAATACCAGAAAAGGATACCGCCCTTGAATCTGTTTGAAAATGTATTTGAAATTACTACACAGAATAATTTGTTCAATGGAAAACGTTTTAAATGACCTAAGCTACCGCTATTCGCATAGCAGTTCCATGTAAATATAGATTCCACAGGACATGGAACTGATATGCAAGTAACAGCAGTAAACGCGAATTATTATTGAGAATGGATTCAATGCTGCCTAAAATTCAGTCTATGACTTTTTTTATAACCCAAATCATGTAAAGTATTCCATTAATCGCGGTTAAAAAAATCGTTTAATATTAATCATAAACTTACACAATCTAGGACAAGCGCAATTGGCTTCAGAAAATTGAGACCTTAAAAAAATAGCGCATTACGTAAGCTACACGAGTTTAGCAGATACTTCAGGGCTGTCCATGTACCCCGTGGACAGTTTAGGGGGAGGTTGGCAGTCGACGGCCCATTTTTTTTGCTGGATTCCACGCATGGGGTGTCTAAAACCTATCAAAAACTATCCACGTGGGTTTCGGCCAGCCCCTACCTAATTAGTCTGGTGGTGTTGATATTGCTTCTCGTGATAATGATGATGGTCCCACTTCTTACCCCATACAAAGGTATGAGCTGGACGGTTTATTTTTAAGATAATTAAGTGTGACATGTTAACCAGATTAGCAAACAAAAACGAACTGGTATTGTAACAGATATAAATTCCCTCAACAGTTTCAGTTGCTTCACAGCGATATAAATGTGAAAAGGTGTTCACCTCTTTGTTCACCCTTTTGTCCACCTCAAATATTCATAAGCATTCCCAGCGATCAATGTTATGATACTAAAGGGTGATACGGTCAAAATTTGGTCAAGGGAAAACGCGTGTAAATCGGTGAAATCGTTTATTTAAAAAATCAAATTAAATTTCTTTTTCAAGTTCAATTAGTATAAAATTCGGGAAAAATATTCAGTCAGGCTTCCGCTTTTCCAAATCAGAATTGCCGGGCCTTACGCTTGACCCCTGCCATCAGATTTTGTACAGCCACCTTGTCCACCTTCTTCGCCGCAGAAAGCCAGTTTGCCTTGAACTGCTGCTCGCCCTTAGCAGTTTTTTTGGTCTTCTTTAGGTTCCGCTTGACAATAGCCCAGTATTTCTCAATTGGGCGGAGCTCTGGCGTGTTGGGAGGGTTCTTGTCCTTGGGAACCACCTGCACGTTGTTGGCGGCGTACCACTCCATGGCCTTTTTACCGTAATGGCAAGATGCCAAATCCGGTCAAAACAGTACGGAACAACCGTGTTTCTTCAGGAAAGGCAGCAGACGTTTATTCAAACACTCTTTCACGTAAATTTCTTGGTTGACAGTCCCGGAAGCTATGAAAATGCTGCTTTTCAAGCCACAGGTACAGATGGCTTGCCAAACCAGATATTTCTTTGCGAACTTTGACAGTTTCATGTGCTTGAAAACATCTGCTACCTTTCCTCTTCCTTTTGTCGTATAAAACTCCTGTCCCGGAAGCTGCTTGTAGTCGGCTTTGACGTAGGTTTCGTCGTCCATTACCACACAGTCAAACTTCGTCAGCATCGTCGTGTACAGCCTCCGGGATCGCGCTTTGGCCGTCGTATTTTGTTTATCATCGCGATTTGGAGTCACTACCTTCTTGTAAGTCGATAGTCCGGCTCGTTTTTTGGCTCGATGCACGGTTGTAGACGATACACCCAGCTTATTTGCGGCATCTCGGAGAGAGAGGTTAGGGTTTCGCTTGAAACTACCGGCAACTCTCTTTGTCGTCTCAGCGGCTTCCGGTTTTCGATTTCCCCCCGATCCAGACTTCCTGGCTGTCGACAAACGTTCCCCAAACACTTTAATTACATTTGTAACGGTTGATTTGGCAACTTTTAGCGATTTTGCCAACTTTGCGTGCGAGTAGCTCGGATTTTCGCAATGCGCGAGCAAAATTTTGATACGCTGCTCTTCTTGCTTGGACGGCATTTTGACAACTGAAGAGTGAATTCCAAAATCAAAATAGGAGCAACATTCTACACACACACACCTTCAAAATGAGGGGTGTTCAGGTTTTTTAAATGCAAAATTGAAAGAAATACGTCAAGTTGATATTGACCAAATTTTGACCGTATCACCCTTTATCATAATTTTCAGAAATGCCAGGAATGCTCACGAGCCCCCGAAATTCAGCCAGAAATTTACTGCTATTTCAAGGCATCTTTCAAATAAGCTTTAGAATTAATTTTTTTTTTATCAAGTGTTAAATTCAGTCCTCACGCGCGTGAGGCTCAACACTTTATAGACTACTCAAAACTATTTTTTTAACTACTACTATTAAATCAAATATCACAAATCCATCATCACCATCGTGGCGATAGTTTTTACAATGCTACAATAATTATTAGAAAGTCGTTATGCCAGTCCATGCAAAACAATCTCTTAGAGATAACTTCGTCAAAGTACGTAATTTGCCAATCCATAACAACAACAAAATCACTAGATAACTGCTAAAACAATTTTTGATGACGAGGTTCCATATGAAACAACCGGGTGAAACTACACAGTGCCGTGGAATACGAATTGCCAGAGATCGAATGAAAGGGCATCTTTCATTGGACCAACAGGTTTACATTCAAGGGATAGTTCAGCGCTTTGGGATGACGGACGCTACTCCAGTAGCAACACCAGCAGATCGATCGGAGCTTGAGACTTGACAAATCTAAGGCTCTCAAAACACATGTGGAGAAAGCAGAGATGTCGAGAATGCCCTTTAAAAAAGCAGTCGGCGGTTTGTCATTCTTAGCGCAGACTACTCGACCAGATATTGTGCTGTTTTAGAGCAAATTGTAAACAAACTCGGTCGCTGTCCCATACAAAAATCCAACATGGCTGAATCATGAATTTGACACATTAGAACACCTATATGTAGTCACCTTGGTGCTGACTGAGCTACTGACTGAGTGCTCTGCTGACAGTGACTCGTTTGCTTCTCAATTTTCATATTCATATGAAAATAACTCATTGAACCTGACTGTGCACTGGCCAACTGTAACTCTTTCGTCATACGATGCGGAATTCATATCCCTTTCGCGGGCTATTCAAGAACCTGAGTTCGTAACTAACGGATGTATTGAAGCAATGTCAATCTTTTACAATTGCTAATACAGGGCAAGAGGTTAGCCAGAAGGGCTCTTCATCTTTGGTGAACTTTTTGATTTTGTGTTGTACATGTTGTGTTTTACTGTGTAATGTTTTTTTCAATTTTCTTCTTGTGAAGTATGTTGTTTGAATGTTTTAATTTGTTATTCTACCTACTTAACCTAACGTGCCAGATTTCTGACGATCTGTTTATCGGATCGCCTACAGCAATCTCTCAACCTTGCGATGGAGTCAGCTCTCCATAACTCCAGTGTCTGAAGACCACCTCAGAATTTCTAGTTCGCGGGGGACTGTTAAGGATCATCCTACCCAAGTAACAATTTTGGTTTTATAACGCTCTTGAAGACCATGGTTTAGGCTTGAAGAGTTCTTTAAAACCCCGATAAAACTAGCAATGTTGCTTGGGTAAGGATCTTGTTTTGGATCCTTTGGAGTTTGCGGTGATGGCATTTGGCGCAACTCTCCCAGATTGGCATCCCGTATTCTATTACGGGAAGGATGATTTGTTTGTAGACAGCAAGCTTATTTTTCAGGGACAGGGTAGACCTCCTGTTGATGAGTGGATACAACGATCTTATCAAGATGTTGCACTTGGTTTTGGTTTTGTCGACGTGCTCCCTGAAAAGAAGCTTGCTGTCTAGTGTTATCTCGAGGTACACGACCTCTTTGGACCATTCCACCACTGAGCCGTTTAAGCAGATCTTATTATTCTCAGACGGAACAAGTCTGGGAGATTTTGAGTGTGGAAAGATGATGACCTGGGTCTTTGCCGCGTTGATACGGATCTTCCAGCTGTTGAAATATTCAGACAGGACGTCCAGTAGACTGATGCAAAATTTGAAATTTTCTCTCTACAGTGCTCAAACGGTTCCAAATTGGGCCCTGATTAGCCTTCCAAAATTTGAACTCATTTAGTGAGACTGACTTGGCACAAACCATTTGAAGTTTATATGGAAATTACTATGGAGAAACCATAATTTCGATTCATATCTATCTCAAAATTCACCAGTTCACTCTGCTTTAGAAAATGATAGCTGAGCTTGTTGAAAACATTCTCAGCTACAACTTTGTTCAAGACCACTTTTCGATCAAATGAAAGGAACAAAAATTAATAATGATTCAAGCCACTGATGTCTTATGATTATGCTCATTCAACTGTTTAGTAGGCAACATTGGTGTTTATAGCGCGTAGAATAGAGGACAAAAATCATAGCTACTATATCACACTGCAGAATCTAGTGTTGCCCACAAGACAGTTGCTTAATCTTGCCATAAGATTATCAATCTCTTACACAATTAATAACTATTTAATTTGACGTTTGGCTGAAAAACAGCTGTTTTCTGCAAAGTTGTAGCTGATGAAAATTCCCATAAG